CACAGGCGGGGCTGTTTATTTATTAGCTCAAAGTTAAATGTTTTGTAAAACAGGTTTTGTTATGAAATATGTCCCATATTACTGGTCTATTCATGTGCGTATAAACTCATGTATAATGTACGTCGGGATGCCAGACTGTGCGACAGAAGACAGGGGAGGGTTGGTCGACAGAAAGTATGTTTCTACCGATTCTGCTTCATTTAACTTTGTTTTACCGAGAAGAATGACGTTAAAACATTTGTCAAGAAAACTCCCAAACTATTAGCAAGCTTCATTTATCATAGTTAAAATGTAATCAGCGTCCCCACTGGAAATTCATGGGAATAAAAGGTTTATGATTAATTTGGGAAAACGACACTCATAACAGGCCATCAAAACTGATACAATTTGTGACATTGAATACATTATACCAACCAGGCAATTATGAAAAATTAATAAGGTCCCTTTAATATTGCTGTAAATACCAACGTCTGTCGTTTACCGCCCTGTTAGGTGGCGTGAAAGGCTGGAGTGAGTGTGATCGTTCACACTCGACATACAGTCACTTTACACTTCCTGCACAGAGCGACATGGGGAGCGGGGCTCTCACTCGGGTGGTCGGCCGGGCGCAGCAGGGGGTATCCGGCACTAGGAGCTCAGCATCCACTCACCCCCACGTGGTAACAGTCCTCACCCCCACGAGGTAACAGTCCTCACCCCCACGAGGTAACAGTCCTCACCCCCACGTGTTAACAGTCCTCACCCCCACGTGTTAACAGTCCTCACCCCCACGTGGTAACAGGCCTCACCCCCACGTGGTAACAGTCCCCACCCCACGTGTTAAGAATCAAGTTTATTTCAATAACAGCTTGTGTAAGATCATGAACTTGTAATTTCCTCCCATCCTTTTGGCTGCGTGTTCAACCGTCTACTTTCTTCATACCAAAGTGTGACACAACGAGATTCTGCTACACAACGGACGAGGAATATTGTTAACATATTGTTAGTATATTGATAGCATATTGATGGCATATTCATAGCATACTGTTAGCATATTAATAGCATATTGTTAGCATAGTGATAACATATTTGTAGCATAGTAATAGCATACTGATAGCATAGAGATAGCATATTGATAGCATGTTCTTAGCATGTTCTTAGCACATTGTTAGCACATTGTTAGCACATTGTTAGCAAATCCTACCACTGTTTGTAGCACACTATCCTGCCTCAGAAACTTTCAGAGACATTTTTAATTTATCCGCAAACCCCACCTTCCAGAAAGTAACTATTGTAAACGAAAACTTAACTATTTTATTGGTCATAATTTTGTGAATACTTTTTACAAGGACGAAGAGGTTTTCATACATTCCTAATTTTAATATTCACATATGTCTGTTAACATGGATGAAACGCCTCACTGAACAAAGGAACAAGTAACACATCTGGTTAACAAGCACACGGTGTGAAGGAACAGACCATGTATATGGTTTACAAGTACACAGTGTGTAGGAACAGATCATATATACGGTTTACAAGTACACAGTGTGTAGGAACAGATCATATATACGGTTTACAAATACACAGTGTGTAGGAACGGATCATATATACGGTTTACAAGTACACAGTATGTAGGAACAGATTATATACTGAGTCAAATTAAAAACTTCACATTTTAAAAAGTAATCCCATATATGATATACAACGGACAAATCTATCAGAGAAGGTAATTTTTAATCATTAATGTCCAAAGAAGGATTTTAATTAACGGTGGTAACCATAATTTGTTCCAAGCACCTACAGTATTCGGTAATAACATCAACAGTTTAAATCACAAGTCCCAAGCACGAGAATCTGATGGCACACAAGTTCAGTAGCGTGTATGGCCACAACTGCCACACAACGCATGGACCTTGTGATGCTTGTGAACACATGATTGGGAAGACGACGCCATTGTTGCTGCAAAATGGTGCCAAGATCTTGCAAATTCTGTGGTTGGTTCTGGAGAGTGCGCAGACTTCTGCCAAGAGCATCCCAGACGTGTTCGATGGGAGACCTTGACGGCCAGTCCATGACGTTGACTCCCGCATTCTAAAGGAAATTCCTTGTCAAAATTGCTGTGTGGGGTCTGGCATTGTCGTGTTGGGGATCAAACCGGGTCCATGTGCTGCCATAAAAGGCAGAAGTTCTGGTGCCAGTACCTGGTCGCGGTAAGCAGCAGCGTTGAGGTTGCCACGGATGACGTGAAGTGCATTGCCACAGAAAGCACCCCACACCATGACACTTCCGCCTCGAAATCTGTCAACTTCCTGTACACAACACAGGGCGTAATGTTCATGACGGCACCTCCACACCCTCGCCCTACCAACAGCAAATCGAAGATTAAATCGGGATTCATCACTGAAGAGGACTTGATTCCAATTCCTCTGAGTCCATCGTAAGTGTCGCTGTGCCCACAATTGACGTTGACGTCAGTGTAATTGAGTCAGAATCGGCCCGCAGTATGGCCGTCGTGCTTGAAGGTGAGCAGTTCTCGGCTTCGAACAGTTTGCGCACTCAGTCTACCCCTAAACAGTTCATTTCTGGTTGATGTAGCCGTCATAAAAAACCCAGATCATATATACGGTTAACAAGCACACAGGGTGATGTGGGAACAGATCATATATACGGTTAACAAGCACACAGGCTGTTGTGGGAACAGATCATATGTATGGTTAACAAGCACACAGGGTGATGTGGGAACAGATCATATCTATGGTTAACAAGCACACAGGGTGATGTGGGAACAGATCATATATACGGTTAACAAGCACACAGGCTGTTGTGGGAACAGATCATATGTATGGTTAACAAGCACACAGGGTGATGTGGGAACAGATCATATATACGGTTAACAAGCACACAGGGTGATGTGGGAACAGATCATATCTATGGTTAACAAGCACACAGGGTGATGTGGGAACAGATCATATGTATGGTTAACAAGCACACAGGGTGATGTGGGAACAGATCATATCTATGGTTAACAAGCACACAGGGTGATGTGGGAACAGATCATATATATGGTTAACAAGCACACAGGGTGATGTGGGAACAGATCATATGTATGGTTAACAAGCACACAGGGTGATGTGGGAACAGATCATATCTATGGTTAACAAGCACACAGGGTGATGTGGGAACAGATCATATCTATGGTTAACAAGCACACAGGGTGATGTGGGAACAGATCATATCTATGGTTAACAAGCACACAGGGTGATGTGGGAACAGATCATATCTATGGTTAACAAGCACACAGGGTGATGTGGGAACAGATCATATCTATGGTTAACAAGCACACAGGGTGATGTCGGAACAGATCATATGTATGGTTAACAAGCACACAGGGTGATGTGGGAACAGATCATCAACATTAGTCTGCAATACAGACACTGAAACAAACATATCCAATACAACCCGTGGAAGTCTATAATGTTTGGCGAATCTAGATAACTGCTGTATCTGAAAACAAAGGGCGTGTTTGGGTTCCTTTTTATTATATTTCACAACTATAGTTTAACAACTGTATTTATCTGTAAAATATGTTCATTCCAGAGACTAGATGTAAGTCTACATTAACATGTCCTTTACGTTTTCATTGTTTATTTGTTAGTTGGTAGTTTACACGAAGTAGCTTCAGAATTCCCAAGCAGCATTCCCCCCAAGTCTGCCTGTCAGGGTGATGGTTAAAGCCTTGTCGTGGCACTGTTAGAGCGCCGTACAAATTCACTAAGTGTTCCAATTAGTTTTCAAAAACGATTTGCAAACAATATCTCATAAATCCCCGTGGATCTTTCCCTTCCAACAATCAGCTCCATCAAAACGTCGTCGTATTGTCCTCCGTCTGAGATGTCGCTGATGAAGACGTCTCTGCTGTACATGCCGTTGTCCCTGATGATGACGAGGCTATTGTCATATAAATCACCAGACAACATCCAGCCAATTACGGCCATCAGCTCGTCCAGTCACACGCTCGTCAGTGGCTGCGAGGGATCAGAGATTACACTGCCAACCAGATTCTGATTTCACTGACAAGACATTCCCTGGCCTCTGACTCCCGTGTAAAGCCGGGTTGAGTGTAGAATGATATCACAAGCGCGGCTGCTGCTGCTGCAACATACAGCTGAGTGAAAGATGAATCGGACAATGTCATCCCTTCCGCTATCAGGATGTCGGAGTGGGGGCAGAATCCCCAATGTGGAAATCTTGTATATCCATCACAGTTTCTCACACTATGTGATTATCGTAATCTGGTCACCGACAGTCACACCGCAGTTCGAGGACGCACCCCCTCGCCGGCAACAATACGTGGGTGACGTGCGGGGTCGGCGGGGGTCAGTGACGGGGTAGTTTGCAGGAGTAAACCACTATGGAGAGTGTAATTTGTTCCGTGTTATCGTGATTTGCATCTTGATGGGATGTAGCATGTCGAAAGTCGGCTATCACCCAACACTCAGGCCTAAGGCAGAGTGTCTAACCAACACCGTCCCCACCTAACAGCCTCAGTGGGCACACTGGCCTATCACCCCGTCTGGGGCTAAATTAGAGACCTACCCCAGGTGACAACTTCCTATTCAAAGTAAAGTTATACGTTGATGAGCAAAGTGTCCTAAATAGTGATAGCAGCTGATTGGGGACCCACCCCTAAATCCACCACGTCAACCATCACACTAACACTAGCATGTCTCGTACACGGATAGTGCCATTGTTCCCCATGTTGGGGAAGTACTATTTCAGTATTAATATATCTTTCGGGTGGGCTAGGAAGTAGTCCAAGATAAAACGTAGCCGACATAGTGAATAATTCCCGCTACTAATTGAATCTCGCAAACCATTAACAAGATGACCACCCCCAAAACACCACCCAAGACTGTTTCTTGACAACTGTATAAGAATCTATACCGAAACGTTAGAATTACAGTATAATAAAAAGTTGTTATCCATAAACAATTTTTGTTTACTTTGTCATTCGTCAACTTCTAAATGCCTATCAAACAAGTGCAGATCCTAAGAACTTCACCTGCGTCGATACGAGAACTTTTAAACATGCACTCAGCACACACAGGCTGTCTGATGGAGATCCACGCGGTGCATTTGATGGTTGAATATATGCAGCTAGAAACAGACACGTGTAGGTTCAGACGGTTGGACAGGCGTAGGTTCAGATGGTTGGACAGGCGTAGGTTCAGATGGTTGGACAGGTGAAGGTACAGACGGTTGGACAGGCGTAGGTTCAGATGGTTGGACAGGCGTAGGTTCACATGGTTGGACACGTGTAGGTTCAGATGGTTGGACAGGTGTAGGTTCAGATGGTTGGACAGGTGAAGGTACAGACGGTTGGACAGGCGTAGGTTCAGATGGTTGGACAGGTGTAGGTTCACATGGTTGGACACGTGTAGGTTCAGATGGTTGGACAGGTGTAGGTTCACATGGTTGGACAGGTGTAGATTCAGATGGTTGGACAGGCGTAGGTACAGATGGTTGGACAGGTGTAGGTTCAGACGGTTGGACAGGTGTAGGTTCAGATGGTTGGACAGGCGTAGGTTCACATGGTTGGACAGGTGTAGATTCAGATGGTTGGACAGGCGTAGGTACAGATGGTTGGACAGGTGTAGGTTCAGACGGTTGGACAGGTGTAGGTTCAGACGGTTGGACAGGTGTAGGTTCAGACGGTTGGACAGGTGTAGGTTCACATGGTTGGACAGGTGTAGGTACAGACGGTTGGACAGGCGTAGGTTCAGATGGTTGGACAGGTGTAGGTTCACATGGTTGGACAGGTGTAGGTTCAGACGGTTGGACACGTGTAGGTTCACGTGGTTGGACATGTGTAGGTTCACGTGGTTGGACAGGTGTAGGTACAGACGGTTGGACACGTGTAGGTTCAGATGGTTGGACAGGTGTAGGTTCACATGGTTGGACAGGTGTAGGTTCAGACGGTTGGACACGTGTAGGTTCAGACGGTTGGACAGGTGTAGGTTCACATGGTTGGACAGGTGTAGGTTCAGACGGTTGGGGGGCGGTCGGGTAGCCTAGTGGTTAAAGCATTCGCTCGTCACGCCGAAGACCCGGGTTCGATTCCCGACATGAATACAATGTGTTAAGCCCATTTCTGGTGTCCCCCGCCGTGATATTGCAGGTATATTGCTAAAAGCGGCGTAAAACCATACTCACTCACTCACTCACTCGGACGGTTGGACATGTGTAGGTTCAGACGGTTGGACACGTGTAGGTTCAGACGGTTGGACACGTGTAGGTTCACATGGTTGGACAGGTTTAGGTACAGACGGTTGGACAGGTGTAGGTTCACATGGTTGGACACGTGTAGGTTCAGACGGTTGGACAGGTGTAGGTTCACATGGTTGGACAAATGATTACATTGCATCTGAACATTTTTCCTTCTCTGTTCGACCGTGTGATACAAGACGGAAGCTGCTCGTCTCGCTTGGTGGGCATATATTTTAACGGAAAACCACGCGGAACCAATACGCGAGACGCTGCAAACTACCTGTGGTTAGACTAAACCTCTGTGAAGAACTGCACTGATAACTGCACTGACAAAGTATCAGCACGGTGTACAGATAAAAGTAAAAAAATGCAGCAAAGAGGGTTTGGGTGATCCTGGCACAGTCAGGCTGGTTAGGCTCATCATCAGCTCAGGGCCCTTGCCCCCTCTTGCCCCCAGACAGCGTATGGGACAGCGCTGACAAGTCAAACCCAGCCAGAACTTTTCGGAGAATGTGAAGACTCCCCAACACTGCAGCCTTCTGCATAACCCAGATGGTCAGAAGGGCTGTATCCTGGCAGCAAACCCGGGTACTCTCTCAATGTCAGTCAACAGATTGGGAGGTACCAAACCTAAGGCACCGAGAACAATGGGGAGTCGGACAACTTGGTACTTGGGATGCAAGCGTGACATTTCGAAAGCGAGGTCCGCATATTTGCCATGTTTTTCCTCAATCTTGTCCATCACATTAAGGTCAAAGGGGACAAAGAATTCAATGATATAAATGATTTCATTGGATTTATCAAAAAGGACAAGATCAGGTTTGTTGGCCTGGATACGTCTGAGGCTGTAAATGAGCCTATTCCCCAAAAAATTGTATTTATCATTTTCCATGACGCCCTTTACATATTCCGGATCGTACCAAGGATAGACCTCTGTGTCAAAACGGTAACGGTGACGGTAATAAAATGATCGAGCTACACCATCATGTCGTTTAAGATACTGTGTTTGTGCCAAAGCTGGGCATCCACTAACAATGTGTTGGACAGTCTCATTAAATTCATTACATAATCTTCATTTCACATTACATTTTGATGCACATTGATGGTTTCGAGTGGGAAGTGACTGGTCCTGAACAGCAAACAGAAGGCATTCTGTTTCACTTTTCAAGCCAGACGACTTCATCCAAGCGAAGGACTCTGCAGGATTGCTGATCCTCTCCACACACTGCACATAAACTCGATGCAGTGGTCGTTCAGATAGCCTCTCCTTTAAACACTTAGTCTGGGCCGACTTGATATGGCACTTCGCTTGGTTGACACTCATTTCTGTACCGCCCAGCAGTACAGAACAATCAACAACATCAACACCGACATTGAGATTATGTCCCACATTCTTGGCTCGTTTAAGAAAACTGTGGAATGCCTTGTTTTCATGAGTCATGAGTATTGACATGCTTCACAAGAGGATTACCAGACAAGAAAATGTGTGCTTAAGTGCACAAAACAATTCTATCATGAAGAGCCCCAACGTTAATCAAACCACGTCCTCCCATAATGATTGGTAAATATAAGCGATTGAGGGAAGAGCGAGGGTGGTGGGATCTATTGTCTGACATGATTCTTATTCTTATTCTTATTCTTATTTTCATCATCATCATCATCATCATCATCATTGGAAGGATGAGGTGTGCACAGATGCCCTCCCATCCTCGGAAAGCTCCGGCAGGACATCCTGTCATCAACCATCTCGGGTATGTGTTGTCATTTACCTGTCAACGTTATCGGCTACGTGTTTGTTAGATTGTTTGAGGACAATTTAGACTTTCTCACCCGTACAGGTATTATAGTGACAGAGGTATAAAGACAGACCCCTGTTTGCGAGACACCCTGCTCTGTACTATCTGGACGGAGATCTAACCCTGGAGCTTGTTGCTCCGATTGGTTGCAGCTGACATCCTCTAAACACCCTGTCGTGCCGTCGTCGCCGTGGATGGGGACGTGATGGATGTGGATGAGGTTCAGGAAGAGGCAGATTGGAGAGATGAGTGGTTGGATGGGGTAGAGAAGAGGGGTGACAGTCAAGGTAAAGACGATACTTTCACATTTGGCCAAGTGTGTAATGGGGCACTAACTCCGCGCAGTGTCGCTACTGTCTGTGAAATCTGACCCTCCCTGGAGCCTGCAGTTAGATTAAAAGTCAGCCAGACAATGGTGCGAGGAGCTGTGAATGAATCTGTGTGTGTATCACAGTGTATCTACCACTCATTACAGCTCGGCGGGGGTTCGGCGGTGTACGGTAGCTCAGCAGGGCTACAATTACATCTCACTCTTTCACGGATTTGTATTTAATAGCTTATCACGTCACCTTGTGGAGATAATGGTGGCGATGTTTGTGAGAGTGCGCCTCCTGCCGGTGTCCCTCAGTGACGTGACAGCCATGTCAAGAGAAGCCTCTTACAAAACAGCATCGGCCATGAACGACTCCGAGGATGTTTCCCATTATTGTCGGCGATTAACACCATCTTGTTGACACAGCTAATTGTTGCACACCTCGAGAAGCGGTGTCACGTGACCCCGAGATATATAAGCAGTTCAAGGAGCCCCTTAACGCTTCTACTGGACACGGGCAGCGGTACAGGTTGTAAACCAGAGGCAAATTTGTGACGGGATGAAGCGAGAGAGCATCACACACCCCTCAACCTGGGGGGTTGCCTTTTACAGATCACATGATAAGCAATATTGACATGAGGCAATCCTTATAATTCTGTATGCTCTTATTAAGTGAAATACTTCCCACCCGCCGGAAAGAAACGTGTATCAGGAATGTGTTTAACCTCAATAAAAGATTGACGCTGAAATTAATCCAACTATCTCATTAGGTAAGAATGCGATTAAATCAGGATGTTATAGTTCCCAACCTTGAGACGTTATAGACACATGCGTCAATGTACTGGCATGTACTCGCTAGGGCTGTGGTAGACTCATCCAGGCCAGATTGTTAGACTTATACTTGTATGGGCTAATCTTGCTAACATGGCCCTAATAATGCCTTATCCTCGCCCCTGTGTCCCCTCATCCGGTAAAGTGTTTGACATTCCAGCTCTCGCCAACCCACTGTCCTCCTCGACACTTAATGTTATCATACCTCCGCCCGGACCATTAACCGCGGTGTATGCCATCTTGTGCTCGTTTTGAAATTGTTAAATAAATCTTCTTATCATTAAGACCACCTAGGTACGAGCCACTCTATGCTCTTGCAACCAGTTTCACCTAATAATACTTTTTGAAGCACGTGAATGAGTGGTTTTAATCTTTTCATGTCTTTACTATGCGGCCCACAAACACGTACATATGGACACCAAGCGACAGTGATTTATTCCATAGATGATTGCATTTTAATCTCCCGCGGTCAAAAAGCGCTCTGACTAATACAAGTCATTGTTTGCTACAAAAATAAAGTAAAGAGTTTTAGAAGCTTTAATGGGTGTTCCTCTTCACGACTTCGGCACGGCTGACAGAGCAGACAATAGCAAGCCTTCGTTTACTGTAGCAACGTTACCCAATCAGCGCACACAAGTCGAGCTAAACTTCTCCATTTCTTACGAGCGGCATTGTTGCGTCTCCGCGGGGAGGAGAGAATCCTTTGACGACACTGATTGAACTTACATGAACATTGCGAGGAAACTTATGCCTGGAGAATGTACGTGTTTAGCTACCCTCTACATAGGAGCACATAAAACGCACCCCCTGCTGGGCCGGGAGCTGAGGGTAGCCATGAGGCAAGGGCCCGACCCACGGAGACGGGTAACACGAACATACAGGCTTTGTCCACCACCCCGGGAATCCGACGCTGCGCCGGAATATCGCTGCTTGAGAAAATCGACTATCAAGTATCGGGTACTTAGAGCTCCGTACAGGGATGTGTATGCTCCTTCGTGCTGCTTCAACGTAGACATCCCAACAAAAGCAACCCTCAAGTAAATGCCAGAAATAATCGCCTGCGTCCATCTTGTGAACATACTGGCACATTGACGGATAAAGAGGTGTAGGACTACACCATGTCAAGAGGGGGCCTTGCTGTAGGAAAATGCTGGGAAAATAGGCTCTTTCAAACTTCAATTTCCGCTCATTGTGGTCCTAAGGCGATCACCGCTGTAGTTTAACACCCTGAAAAGACTTATCTTTCATAGCTAGTTTATCCTCGTCGATGTCTCCGGCTGTGAAAAATACAATCAGAGTGCGTATGAACAGGAGCGATCAGCGATAGTTGCCGGCCGGGGCATCTGACGCTACTCTTGGCGGGATCCGGCACATGAAATGGTGTGCTTCCTTCACGTGAATACTTCGAATACACCTCAGGACAATCCTGTATAGGAGTCTTGTCCACTGTAGATGTTACTAGACACCCCAGGACAATCCTTTATTGGAGTATTTCCACTGTAGATGTTACTAGACACCCCAGGACAATCATGTATAGGAGTATTTCCACTGTAGATGTTACTAGACACCCCAGGACACTCTTCCTGAATTGGAGTCTTGTCCTCTGTAGATGTTACTAGACACCCCAGGAGACTCCTGTGTTGGAGTCTTGTCCACTGTA